ATAAACATTGTTCAGAAATAAGCTTATATTATTTTTAAGAAATTAACTGAAATGCGTCTCATTCAAAGAGCAATCTAATACCATGTATTTGAGTTACAAAGTAGGACTTATAATTACTTCCTAATCCCAATACATGGATGTCCTTAGTAGCTGGCATCACTTAGAGAACCAATAAAAGCCAAGAAACTTTGGTCAGCTGTTCTGTCAGAGATTTTTTAACCAGTTAGTAGTGCGCACCCATAAATTGAATATGGGGTATCCGAGAGTTCTAACAAAAAATGTGACAGGTAGTGTTCAGTATATCGAGTTTCAAACCGAGACTGATCGATGGCACTATACCTGAAATTGATAGGAGCAAGTGACTGAAACGTGAATAGATTCACCTCGTAGCTCGTAGGTCCTGAGTTTGAACTATGGTGAGATACTAGGTGCGTACTGATGAAGAGCCCCGAACTGTGACGAAACTGTTGTCATGTATTCCTTAGTTTTCAGTGACTCTGTAACTGACTTATTTTCATGGAAAGATGTACTTTAAAATAAATCAGAATCTCTAGGAACCCTAAATTTGAATGTTTTTTATTTTCGTTTTTATTCCTTTGAGTCTCGAGTGGGACATAGCGCTTCAAGCATGAACTTTAAAGTTTCAGTAGCAGTGGTGCCTCTTTAACGGGGTGGGCTTGCTAGCCTCACGCCCAATCTCTCCTTTTTTCGGGTTTATTACCAGCTAGGGCAGGTAAATATGTCAGCCGGCCGGCGATTGAACCACGGGCCACATACATGGTCGTGCATGTCACATACAAGGTGAAGTGTATCGGGATGGTCGGGGGAGTGGCCGAGCGGTCTATTCTGTTTAGTTCAGTATTACTTAATAAAACTCTTTGCTAAATGGGTGGTTCAAGTGGTCTAATGGATAATGCTTTGGCGTTTGAAACTACGGGCACTGGGTTTGAGCCTCGGTAGGAACACCGTCAATAACTGGGGAATTCATGTACACTCAGATGACAAGTCCCAAATGGGACGAAATGCGCGTCCTGGTGAATTTCAGTGCTAGTCACCATCCACCAATTGACATCAAGTAATGTAAACAGTTTAGATAAAGCATAGTCATTGTAAATAGCATTGCTGTTTGTAAAATGTTGAATTTATCATTGAAATTGATTTCATTCTATTTCTACTTCAGTCTTGTTTTTGTTTGTATATATTATTTCTTATCATGACAGCTTGAATTAATCCACTTTTTTGAAACGTTTCATATTGATTTACTAGTTCATCTCTTACTGTTTTCTCTGAAAACGTTACATCCACTGTAACGATTAGTTGTCAGTATACCAAATATATAAAGTATCGTTATTATTATTCCCTTGGGTTCCGAGTGGAACATCACCATATTTCTTTCTTTTCTCTATTGTTCTGTATAGCTGACTTAAAGGTTGTGCTTAAACTGTCATTTCCTGCCTAAAGGACCTCCTCTATGTTAGCCTTAGAGATCAATCTCCTCGTTTCTCATTCGTGTTCCACTTGAGAGAATGTTGTGGCTGATGCCACTCAATGGTCTCTTCATTGTGTGTTCAACCCATCTTCACTTTCTTCTGCATATGTTTTGGGCAATAGATTCTTGGGTGGATCGTTGTCATGATTCATTGTTGCTAATCCCTTCTAGCTGACCATCTGATCTTGAGTATTGTGGGAGATGCATCTGTTGATGTTGCAGTCTTCAGCAGACTGTTGTAGAAATAATCAAGTTGTGACGCTTCAAGTCTCTGACTTATGTAGAAGCATAGACTTGACGTTCGTGTTGAAAATTCGAATCTTTCCTTTTTTTCTTTTCTTGTGATAAGTGCGCTATAGATCTCTACACTAATGTCAGAGTAATGAAGGTACGTTTTGCTTTTCTGACTATACCTTTCAATTCTTCTCATCTGTGTTGCCTATCAATGAAACGATACTAAACCTAAACTTGAACAGGAATTCTAAACAGAAATTTGAACACTTGAGAAGTGAAAAGAACAGATAGTAGACTTCATATCTTCTAGAGTCTTGTTTATCGGTCAAATCTATTGGTCATCATCTCTCGCTTTGTAACAACAGAAGACAAGGGCCGGCAACAGATCGTTTTATTACGGAAATCAACACGTATTTATATATATTTCACATACATTATTATAGTTTATTCAAGTAAACAAACGCCGTCTTTTGATTGGTTGTTTCTCAGAAGTTAAGTAGACAAACACAGGCTTCTGATTGGTTGTTTCGGGTAACCATCGAGCCATCTATCTTCGAATCATATTCGCCCACGTTAATTTTGCTGTGATTGGTTGTTGAATCAGCCTTGCTCATATTTTCTTACGGCCCATATTAGTGACCTAGACATTGGCGTAGATTAATGTGAACCAATTGGCTAGTAGCCTGCTCTCACCACAGCTTTCCATGGTCGGTTGTATGACCATATAAAGTTTTGTAACTGAGTGTGCCCATTCGCTAAAAATGCACAATTTGAATTGAAAAAATTCACCATATTTCCCCGTTTTTGAAGCCTTAAATACTCTGGTCTTCTTAATACTGTAATTAGTATTCAAAAGAGGAGACGAAATAGCATAGCCGTATGTATTACTGAGTGAAATAAGCAGTTAAAAAACAGTCATTTCACCTGGTATTGTTTATTAGACCAAAATCATTATGTTCTAAACAATGAACTGCTCAGCTCATCAGGTGTGTACACCCCTTCGTGATTGTCATTTAATGATATCGAAGGGGTTAGATATTTTGTACTTAATATTTTAGATTAATAAGGGGAACTGTGTGATGAGTTTTCAGTTTGAACTATGTGATTTACAATTCCATGTATTACAAGTTCATCAAAACAGTTAACTAGGATTTAAGTCGATGGTGACTATCAGGAAGCGCATTTCGTTCTATTTGGGACTCGTCATCTGGATGTACCCGCATTCCGCAGTGAGTGATGATGTTCCCACCGAGGCTGGAAATTGGGGGCCCGTAGTTTTAAACGCCAAAGTGTTATCGCCGTGGCCCAAGTGGTCTAGTGGATAACGCTTTGGCATTTAAAACTGTGGGCAATGGGTTCGAGCCTGGATGGGAACACTATCACTCACTAGGGAATGCGGGTACATCCAGCTGAAAAGTCCAAACTAGGACGAAATGCGCATCCTGGATTCCACTGCTAGTCCCATCCACCAATTGACTTCAGTTAACATGAACATGCATCGTCGAATCATCTGCACAAGGAGTAGACATGTCAACCTGAGACCGAGCACTTCGATCCAGTCAACTGACGGGAAAATCTAAAATTAAAGTAAGGAGGATTGATCCACCTAGATCTAGATTAATCCACCTTTCTGAGCTAAGTTTCTCTGGAAGCATAGTTTGAGAGTTCGACTCTAAATAACTAAGACTTTAAAGGTAGAAGACAAGAGACTTAGTAAAGGAATGTTTATTTGGAATTCGGTTTCGCTATATAGCGAAATTATGTACACCTCATCTTCAAATGACCATTTGCACAGATCTTCCATGTTGTACTACTTCTGTCCTTCGTATTGTGTTTCTTTGTGTTCTTTCTACGTCTCCATGTTTCTCCGCATCACTTTGGCGTCAAACCTCTCTCTTCGCTATTCGGTAAATTTATTCCAATGAACGTGTCTTTTTATACTACTGAAATGCTATCAGTAGCACACGCCATAAAGAAACTGTCTACTGTCTTTTTAAGTTATTTTGATCTGGCTATCGAACACGTATTGGACATGATTGTCTTTTAAGTACTAATATTTATTCAGTAGTATGCACGTCATGAGATATCGCTTAATACATTTTCATTCTGTATCAATATCAATTGAGCAGGGAATATCCTTTTCGATAATTTCCTTAACCAGCTCTACAGTTATATATATATATATATATATAGAATATTCTGGAATATTCGTTTTAAGTAGGATCCTTTGAATTACAGTGCAAGAAAGAAACGCAAGTTATTCTAATAAGCACAAAAATGTAGCAGTAAATAAAATTAAGGAAATGTTTACAAAAAAATTAGGGATCATTAAGACCTTGATGGCCAAGGTCAATAAGGAAAGCGTCTGAACCAACTTCTTCTTTTGAATACAAACATATGTTAGGTGTGGCTTCTAATTGTAGATTCCAACAGCCAGAGTCAGCAATATGTGATAGACGAAGTATTGAAGTAAAATTAAGCTTAGTTGCTATACGGTAGATGAATTTGAAAACTGCCTCGTTAACATCAATTTTGTGTTCTGTATCTACGAGATGAGATAGTATAGAACTATGAATGGACTCTGTTTCTCCATCAGTTAACCATCTTGCATGATTGTATTTGGAAATCTGACGATAGACACATCTAAATGTATGACCTAGGCAAGTGTACCACTGACCCACTCCACAGGAGCAGTCAAATTGATGAATACACATAGAAGAGGCGAAATTAGATAGTTTATTTTTAACTCGTGAACGCGAAATAGGGTTGGTTTTGAAGAGATAGCATAATTCAGCAGCACTGAGTACTCTCCTCAACCCCGTATCCCTTAGGTGTTGTGTTAATATACTTCAGTGTTATTCCCTAGGAGCTGAAATCGTAAGACCAAGACCTTTCTTTTTTCGAGACTATTAATACTCTGGCCTGCCTTGACTTTTGATTCTCATATTCTTATGGATGAATTTTTCTGGGTAACCGTTGTTCTCAATCAGCAGCTGTTTAGTAATATTAATTTCTTCATTAAGACAGAATACGAATCACTACTAAATGAATTCATCTCACCAGTGACATCCTCTGTATGCATTAAAAAAAAAGAGGCGAAGTGTTTCCATTTTTGAGTTCCACTTGCCAGATCTTTCGAATATGTACACAGTGAATTGGATTGATCAAACATTTCAAACTTCATGATGAGCCCACTGAGGTGTATGTTTCGTTCATCATTAAATATTCTGTTCAGCATTCAATAGTCTTTAAACTTTATATATATATTTGTTTATAGAGACTTCAAGTGCGTCAATATCACGTAAAAATTCAGAACAACTGATTCGGTAAGTTGTAATGGTGAATAAATTTTGAACTTTATTTTGACTATTTTTTTACATAAAATTTACATAATAAGTTAGAATTTGTCATAGTTTTACCATTTTGTGTCCGGCCCTAACTGAGGTTACTAAGGCTGTCACTAGTCTGAGACAAGGCAAAGCAGCAAGACCCTATGGAATTACTTCACAGGTATTTAAGTACTGTGGAGACAGTTTACTGTCTGAGTTAACTAAGGTACTAGGTAGCGTCTGGGAATCAGAGGAAGTCCCATCAGGTTGGTGTAAGTCATTGGTTATCCCGATATATGGGAAGGGAAACTAGTTTTCCTGTGATATTCACAGGGGGATTAGGTTGACTAATATGGTATCTAAAGTTCTCGGCTCAATAATAATGCGCAGACTGAGTGGTGCTCGGGAGTCACAAACACGAGAGAATCAAGCAGGCTTTACACCAGGAAGTGGGTGTATTGATCATATCTTCACCCTATGACAGATTTTAGAACATAGGCATACTTACCGTCGGTGTCCAACAATCGTTATATCTCTTGACCTAAAGGCGGAATTCGATTCTGATGACCGAGAGGTACTATGGCAATGTTTGGCTGTGAAGGGAATTTCGAGAAAATACATTGCACCGATCAAGGAACTTTACTCGAACTCATGCAGCCAGGTGACAGCTTACGGTGAGTTGTCATCTGAAGTGGGTAAAACTGGTGGTGTCCGTCAGGGATGTCCACTATCTCCATTTCCATTCAATTTCATCATATATGTTCTAATGAAATTAATCCTAACTGCTGACTTCATCGACTCAAGGACTGAATTTTTATCAGGGAATAATCTCGTCGACTTAGGTTACACAGGTGACATAGTCCTTCAAGGTGAGGATGCTGACAAAATGCAGAGTCTTCAGAACACCTTGAGCTGCAATCTGCAAATGTTTGACATGTGATTCACTCTTTTTGCCAAATGTAAGCTGATGCTACAGAACTCGACTGGACTATATTGACTTCTGAGATAGAAATAGGGAGTGAAGTCGTTGAGCGTGTTGACTACTGCACTTATTTGGGAAGTTGCATCAGTCCCAACGGTTTGATTGTTGATGAATTCCCAGTTTACTCCATCTATGGCGTAGACGTGATATCCGGCTATCAGCCAAAGGACGTGTGTAATGATCGGTAGTCCACTCCGTCCTCCTCTATGGCTGTGAGACATGGCCATCGAAAGTGGAAGACATTAAAAGGTTAACTGTCTTTGATCATAGATGCCTGTGTTCTATCTCCCGTGTAAGGCGGTGGTATAATAAGGTGAGCAATATTAAGGTTAGGCTTCTGTCGAGTGCTAGTTATTTATTTTTATTTTTATTTTTTGATTACAGCTTGATTCCACACTGTATTCATGGTACAAGTATGGAATTTTCAGCATGGATATCGGCAGCCCAAATTTTGCAGGCCGACCATAGATATCAGGTGTGCGTCGGCAGGGGATCGAACCTCGGACCATATGCATGGTCGGCGAAAGTGGGTGGAAATCAATCGACGACGTCGTGAATTAACATTGATTGAGATTGTTAGGACATGTAATACGAATGCCTAGTTAGCCGTCGCCTTTTACGACGACAGGCAATGTTAGCTGACATAGGATGGATCAGATCGGAAAAGAGCTAGTGGTGGTCAAACCAAAACATGACTTCATCAATCAATGAAATAAATCCACAACAGTCAGTCTAAGGCAGCCAGGTAGGGGATGTAGACTGCCTGACTGGTTGGGGTCATCGGAACTGTAAAAACCAATGAGGGCTGAAGATAACTGGTGATATGGCTGAAAATCGTTCTCGATTTCTGGTGCAGATGCATCCACTCCTTGTGACTTATAATACCCAATTAAACTACATGGTTCTTCTGTATTATTATTCTTTTTGCTTCATATCTGTGTTTAATGTCTCTATTTTGCATTTCTTTTTACTTTCTTCTCTTGATTTGTGTGTTGATTGAAGTGTGGCGACTGGAACTGGTGCACATCTGTGCAAAGTTCCAAATTGAAACCAGTACGTCATCATTTTGTACCCGTGCAGATACATGTCATTGGCTTAGCACTTGACTGTCTTTCTGTGGATTCTAGGTTCAAATCCCACTCCACCTTTTAAGCCTTGACAACTCACAATATTAAATGGAAATATTGATTTCTATTCACTTGTATTTAGTTACACCATCACATTGAATAAGCATCATGCATCATATGTCTGATATCTAAGCAAATGAGCTTAATTCACAATGTACGTCTTTTCATATCTCATTTATGTATTAACAACCTTCATGAGTTACGTAATTGTCTGATATATTTATCTTAACATCTTGTTGCTTCATAACCTTATGGTGAGTGCTACTTATAATCACATATAAGTAGTTTATCAGTACACAAGTTCAGTAAAGCAACAATATGTTTTAGGGGCACTGGAAAAAGCAATTGAAGAAGAGAACTGTGAGAAGAATGTTACAAATGCTGTGCAGAATCATACAAAAAGCTATTGAATGTGACGATATTCGACCAGTTTGCAAATGATGTGCAAATAAAGCATTGGAGATATGGTATACCAAATTTATGTACCTACAATTCGTTTAACCTAATAGATATCCCCTCGAGCTTCATCAATCTTAACTTCTTCACACACTTGCTGCCCACTTTCGTGTTGTTGTTTTCGAGAAACTTAACATTTCGATCCACCTATATACTGTGTATCGGTGGTATAGCGGTTAGGACTCTCGCCGACCACGCACATGGTCCAAGATTTTGTTTCCCAGACGACGCACACCTGATATCAATTGGTCAGCCTGCGAAATTTGGGCTACCGATATCATATGCTAGAAAATTCCATACTTGTGCCAATAATACAGTGTGGAATTAATCTATAATTAGAAATTATTCGTAATTAATTTTCCTCATTTTATCTCCCATGAAACAAACAATAATGAGACTTTAAATAAAACAATAACATCAGTGGTTGGTACAGAAAAATATGGTACCACTGTCGTTTATTTCATTGGCTTCTCATCAGATGCTTATAGCCTTAAGATATTAATAAGTTTATGTACAGTGGTTAGGACTCTCGCCGACCATGCACATAGTCCGGGATTCGAGCCCACGCCGACGCACACCTGATATCCATGGTCGGCCTGCAAAATTTGGGCTACCGATATCCATGCTGAAAAGTCCATACTTGTACCAAAAATACAGTGTGGAATCAAGCTGTAATCAAAAATAAAAATAAAATAAATTAACAATTTTAACATACTTATCCAAAGAGTTCAAGTTTAAACAAAAAAATCAATATATGCATACAATGGTAGTATTATTATTATTATTACTACTACTACTAATAATAATAACAATCACTTTATCCCAAACAATAATGTTCATATACAATAGAATTTTTGGCGTCACGTAATCAAATGAAAGAAAGGATGAAAACAGCCAGTCACCAGGGCATAGAAAGACTGATAATGGCTTCTTTCTAAACATATATAAATCGGGTTACAGGAATTTGGTGGAGATTGCTTCAGCGAACTTGAGGAGAATTGAACTATTTGACCTAGTGATAATTTTGAAGCATTTTATGACGTACACCTCATGACCCATGTCAAGGCGATGCCTGGCAGTGACACCGTTGAAAGCATTTGTTCCCTTGAGATGTAGACATTTCGGTGCATGTTAAGAAAATTCTAGGTGTGTCCTTCTTTCTGTTCTTCCAATATAACTGTTGGAGTTAACAATGAATAGGATATCTATTCATTTTCGATTGCATCAAAGAGCATTTTGTCCAAAACGTGGGAACCAACTTATCTACAGGAGAGACCCTGGCTGTGGTAAGAGCAGCCTGCTAGCCAATTGGTTGACATTAATCTACGTCAGTGTCTAGGTCACTAATATGGGCCATGAGAAAATATGAACAAGGCTGTTTCAACAACCAATCACAGCAAACCTAAACGTGGGCAAATATGATTCGCAGATAGATGGCTCCACTTTCCGAGGAACTCGAAAATAACCAATCAGAAGACTGCGTTTGTCTACTTGACTAGGCTATAATAATGTGTGCGAAATTTATATAAATACGTGTTGATTTCCGTAATAAAACGATCTGTTGCCTGGCCCTTGTCTTCTGTTGTTACATGGCTAGTGGCATATTCAATCTTCTCTTGTGCGTCGGTGGCACAGTGGTTAGGACTCTCGCCGACCACGCACATGGTCCGGGATTCGAGCCCACGCCGGCGCACACCTGATATCTATGGTCGGCCTGCAAAATTTGGGCTACCGATATCCATGCTGAAAATTCCATACTTGTACCAAAATACAGTGTGGAATCAAGCTGTAAATCAAAAATAAATAAAATTGATTTTTCCTGTAATATTATTACATTTAAAATCAAGTCGAGTGAAGATAGGCTTGTTTCCCACTGTGATTTGCGCGGCGTTAGAGCCTGCACATCTTACGTAATTGTTGATGAACCTCAGAAATTCTTCCTGTAATTTCTCTGTAAAGTATATTCTTCTAGCTCTGTAGTACAGAGTCTTGATGAGTGCTCGTTTAAAGCTATTTGAACAAAAAGCCATTAGATTTCAAGTATTGAGCGTTCTGTGTAGGCTTTCTATTAATTGACCCCTAAAGGCTAACATCTCCTAGTTGTTCCATGGCTATATCAAGAAAAAAATAAACTTTCCATCATTTTCATGTTCCATACTGAATTCAATATTATAGGTACCTCTTTGAATAATTCGAGAAGGTAGGAAGCATGACACTTTCGCTGTGGCTTACTACAAATATTACATCTACATATCGACAATAAGAAGCTTTTTCGTCGATTGCATGCTTCAGCTGTGTTCTTTCAAGTTTGGATATGAAGATATTTGCCAATAGTTACACCATTTAAGTGTTGGTTTGTACGGATTTGATTGGTTTCAGGATTTCATCATGAGCTGGCCATTGGAAAACCTGGGAGTACTGGACAGCTGTTT